ATATAAGGCTACGACAAGGAAAGCGATTTAGTATAACCGTTTGATCGTCGCTGTCGACGGCGTCCCCTTGTGCCTCACACAAATGTGGTCGCAGAAACGGTGACTTATGCGTGATTTAGTTTATACTGATGCTGGACTTCGATACGCCTACCTCACCACCTCCTCCACCCCGGTGCGGCGCCAAGGCAGAGTCAGGAAGACTGCCGGCCGGATCAGACGCAGTGGCTGACATAGTTAAATGGTCCGTCCACGCACAATGGACCAATATTTTACATACGAGAGCTTGGCGGCCAATATCCCAACAGAGAGGTAGTGCCGTAAAGGCCACCTTAAAAGGGGGCCACTGCAGCCTTGACCCTTCGCCCTGAGACATGGACTGAATTATCCCGTCGATTGGCAGCCTTTTAAGCTTTAAGCGCTTCGTGATAGTCGAGAAGGGCGTCGGATTGTGTAAAGTGAGAAATATGAGTTGAGTGTCGTGGTGACGCAATCCCCAGAGTCGACTTTACTCTCTCGGGCATCAGTCTACTGTTCGATCCGGTTTGTCATCTGATGCGAGGATTTGGCACAGTGGTTGGCAGAGCTAAACGACCAGTTTGCGCGTGCAACACACGCGATCTGGTCCCCAGCGTAGCACGCGAAAACTTCACAAGAGAAGGATGAGCCACTCGGGTTCCACATGTGTGAATTCCCGTTAGGTGTCGCTCTGCCTGACTCACGACTCACCAGTCGGCCACTCCACACAAACACACTGAGGGTCGACTACGAGGTCCGTGTTGCATCGTCAATTGTCAACCTTCCAAGCCAAGACGTTCAGAGCACCGAGGTAGATTCAGGCGCGTCAGATTTATTGTAGTGCGATATGCACTGAAGTGTCGTGAGGATAAGCTCCCCGCAGTCGGCCTTTCTCTCCCCTGTCCCGTGCGTCGGTCCGAGTTGGTCAGTCAACTGATGCTGGGATCTTAGGGCTGAGCAGCCCGTCTACGCGTGCCACACACGACCCGGCCCTCCACACAGCAGCCCGTGATTTCACACAACGAGACTGGGCTGCTTGGGTCTCACATGCGCTATAGCACCACACAGACTACACGGAGAAGGGGCCAAAGAACATGATTCCAACTTGCGTGGGAGGTGCCTATTCCGTGTCTGTGATGGATGATGTGGACGAGCTCGTGTGTGATGTATGGGGAAATACATGGTGATGGGGTTGTACAGCAATGGTTTGCCGCTGATTTACACTGAGATGCATGTGGCCGAGTAAGCCCATGCGATGGATGAATATACGTGGTCAGTGTGAACTTTTGAAAGGGGTGCGGTGGATGTATGACTGGTGCTCCAAGCACTGGTTCGCCGGTCTCTGTGCGATGGGTTCGCAAGTGACTGACCAGGCCGACGCGTTATGCGCATATGTGACGGGGCTTTGGACAGGAGGGCCTGGTTGCAGTCCTGATGCTACTGGTGCTGGTAACGCTGCTGGGTGCGGAGTTGGCAGCGCTGGAGACGGGAGAGTTGGTAGGTGTGCAAGGTGGGTTTGGCATGTCGTCAGTGTGGCGGATTCCACTGCTCGGGATGTTAGTGGGACCGAGTATGCCCGTAAAATGACTGCGCGGGTGGATGACACTGACAGTGGAGGTGGGGCATCAGAAGTGTGATCACCAGTGGGAGCGATGGTCGCCGTCGGGAATGGTGCGGGATGATGGTGGAGGCATTTACAGAGGCGACAGGTGGGGTTGTCGGGTTATTGTTGCAATGCCATAACGACTCAAACGAGCACACATTCCAATAAAAAGCATGACTGCGCCATCATAATATTCAGGAACAAAAGTGCACATTAACAAGGGCCGACTATGTTTTTTTAATATTTTGAAGATTACAGACGTGGGACAGTCCGGTTATCTGAACGACCTTGCCAATTTCTGCAACAGCATCAGCCAAATAACCAAAGGGGATACGCCCGAGGCTTTTGAAGTCGTGTTTTTTAAGTAGCTGATGCAATTCTTGTCTCTCCCAAAGTTGTCATTCAACTTAAAGACGAATTTGCCATCAACAGTGGACTGAATTTTTAGGCTGTTCGGCAGTACCTCAGTCTCAGGCGAAGACACATGTTGTTCTCTTCTTATAGCAGAGGCTTTCTATGCATGCCACTTTCAGTATTTACTCACAAGTCCGTGCAAAGTTCACTGAATCATTTTTTAGATGTAAACCAGCACATTTTCTCAAACTGGCCTGCACTTATTCTGGTCCGTCACTCACTAAGAGCCGTATGTGGGTACACCGCATATTTGCTATGCTGGCCCTCAGAATTCGACGTACCCAACGTTTCAAGTACAGCAGTTCTCTTCGCGAAATATATCTTCTCTTTGGGTCTGTAACGGCGTTATCCTGCAACCACATTCGTCAGCATTTTTTCAGGTTCACTGTAGGAGGGAAGGGAACTCGAACAACTGGACACCAACTTCGACAGGGTGATCAGGTTACTGGCGCAAAGGTCGGATAAACGTGAACGGTCTGTTGAGAGCCGAGGGAAGGTAAATACTTGACACTGCTTTGACCTCGAGGCCTTCGCTGCGCATTCGAATCAAAACTTCTGCCTGTGCCGCTGTTGATGACGAGTAATAAATCCTGCCCCCTCCACCCAACCCGGTGATTATGAGCATAGTCTTGCGGGCTTCCGACGGGTCCAAGAGAACAGGAACTGCATACACTGTTTCAATAAATGCTTCACAAAAATTTCCAATTCCAATGAAAATCCTCGACAATGATGATGGCCACCAGGCCTCGGAGCTGGTGTCCAGAAACTGGAATCAAGTAATCCTTTGACAAAGGACATTATTAGTCTGTTTTTTTATGATGTCAGGGTCGTTCCCATTTAAAACAATTGGCATTTTTGTCGGTAAGATGTGTTTATGTAGCCCCACCTGATGGACTCACTACTGTTGAAGCTGGGGTGAGGGGTTAGGGATTAGAGTTAGGGAGTAGGGTAAGGTGTTAAGGCAACGATTTCTCAACCATTGAAAGTACAAACGCGCATTCTCAATAGCTTTTCTTTTGCATAAAACTACTTGACCTCGTGGCCAGTGAGTTCCCCGGCCCCACATGGAATAACCCCTATTACCACCGGTTCCGTCTTACAGGTGGCTGGGGTTTGTTTACTTCAGGTGGGGCTACATAACCACATCTGACCTTTTTGTCAGCCAGGCAGACCACGTGCTGATGAATTCATGCATAAACGGATGGACTTTCTGTTATCTACTGTGCCTATCCAAGACTTTGCCATTGGCATATACGTTAACCAGAAAGCCTTAATAATCGTGACACACAAGTGGTTTTTTTGCGTTTGCAGAAACAGATTTTGGTTTTCGGGTTCGTCTAAGACAACTTAACCTACGAGAGAGACCGGTAAGCGTCCTCTTTGGACCCCGTTACAGCTTGGCAGCGATCTTTGTGGGGCCTTTCATTAGTTTTGTGAACAGAATCGATATTGGACACGGTGTTCCCTGAAAGAATTAAGTGACTGAGGTACTAAGTTCTTCGAAATTTCCTATGTCACGATTGAAAAGTCAGTTGGTCAACATGTGTTTTCGGTGATTTATCATCAGGCAACTACAAATACATAGAGAATGAAATTGTGAGCTATGGACAGGATTTGTGTGTCTCGGGGTAATGGTTAGTCAAACTAATCGTTCCTACGCCGTCCGCACGACGGAGTCAGCATTTTGAGGACTTTAGAGCTGGGGGGAGGAAAGTACGCGGCGGGATTCGGGGTAGGGTGTGAGGGCTGTCTGTGGTTCTGTAGCAGGCTCTTATTACGAGATGCCGTGACGCTTTCAGAGCCATCGCTAATACGCCTGCAGATCGGCCGGGAGAAAACGGTTTTCGGAACTTATCATCAGGTAGCAATAGTGCCATAGTGTGGCCCTGTCACAACTCTCACCCCTATGACGCCCTGGCTAGTGAAATCTGGTTTGTATCAGTTGACTGGCAGGTATGTGATGTGTAAATGACGAAGACCAGTGCCAACGTAGCCCCTGCACCATTATCTCCGGTCGTCCCAAATAGGTCTCAAAGATGAACACTGTAGACAAAGGAATAGAGAACGAGGCAAGTGGTGCTCAGATCCCCTTCTCGTTCAGTTCACCGTCGCCCGCCTCCTCCCGCAGGCAGTGGCGACCCTGGCGGAGTTCGACGGATGAAATATTAAGACAATTATAAAAATTCAGGTGTTTTGGCAGATTTAGAATGATATCTTTTGACCAAACTGAGAAAAAAAATCGGCGACTTCGGTGGGATTTGAGCCCACGACTGTATGGTGATGGCTTGAGCACCGCTAATGCTCTAGCCACCTGAGCTACGAGGCCTCACCGGATGGAATCCACCAAATCTGAAACAATAAGTTGATTGCCCAAACGGAATTTCCTAAGACTTGTTGGCTAAGCCAAGGAGGTCTCAAGAGAACAAACAAGATAAATTTTCCAAGTAGGCCTGTGACCCTCTGTTGCTGTTGATGGAAAGTTACTTGACTCGATTCTGTACAAGATAGGTTTATGACGCACTGACGATCAGCAATGGCTGTGAAACAGCCGTCCGCGTCTGGTATGTTAGTACTTTAGCGAGCTTTCCACGGACAACGTCAGGCTAATAAGGCTCTTGTCCCGGCGATCGTGTCTCCTTCTTCAGGACTGCTTCCTGGGACTCGGCTCTTCGCTTCTATTGGCAATGTATTTGGGCGCGATGCGCTCCGATCGGCCCGGCGATGGGAAACCTTCGCCCTTCGGGAGGCCTCTACGTATTCGCAGATCCGGTTTCTGCACAGGTGTCTCGACAATAATGTGTTACCGAAATGTGTTTCATACAAGCCACCGGCTAACATGGATTTGGCGAGACGAGCAGTATTTCAGCACGGCAGAAGGATGATCCGAGTGCTCCTCCAAGATTGCCACGCGAGACTTCGTAATTACCGTCAAAAGAATGACCAAGAAAAGACCAGATGCTGTGAGTTCATGGGTGAAATCGGTACGAATCTGCTCCTGCGGAGGATAGCTGAACAAGCCCGCGAACAGAGCATGATACGCGACGCAGCACCGGAGAACGAATTTCGAAAGCTGCCCAATCCAACGTCGCCCAGAAACGACAAACGGGTGCACAACCTGTCATCAAAGGAGCTGACGAAGGATCAGATGCAGGTTTTACGGCACGAAGCTTCATTTAACACGGCTGACGCCAAACCTGTTAACATGACTGCAGCTGTGGAATCAATCCTTTGTCAGACGGAGGCAACGGAGGAGACTAAGAACTTCATCGGACACCAAGTGTCGTCTCTCCTGATGGCCCACAGGCCGCGGGAAGTGCTTTCCAAGGTCGAACGTGATGCGCCTAGAGAACTCAAGACCGACAAAGACCTGGTCATCGTGCCAGCGGACAAAGGACGCGTCACAGTTTTACTGGACAGGACAGACTACCTTCAAAAAGCCAAAGATTTACTGGAGGACCGACAGTTCCATGTCCCATGTGCAACGAACCCTTTAAAGGCGCTGACACGCGAAATTAATGCTACTTTGTTGGCCTTGGAGAACTCAGGTGCAATAACACCGACCGACAGACGCATGGCGAGACCCCAAGATACGGCTTTGGCCCGATTCTATGGCCTCCCTAAGGTGCACAAAGACGGCGCTCCTCTCCGACCCATCGTGTCGCTCAAAGGGACTCCAACGTACGGACTGGCTAAGTGGCTGTTCCGGCGCCTCAAGTTCCTGACCGCTGAGTCAGACACCACGGTCTCTTCGTCAGCACAATTCCTGGAGAAACTCAAACGGGTAAGCATCCATCCAAATGAGGTCATGGTATCTTTTGATGTTACATGCATTTTTACTTCTATTCCCCAGGACCTGGCGATCGAGACAATTGAGCTGCTACTACAACGCAAATACGATGAAACGGAGAACCGTCTTGGACACGCCCAAGTCCTTCAGCTCTTGAAGCTCTGTCTCAGGACGTACTTCACGTTCGACGGGACAATCTACGAACAGGTGAAGGGCACACCAATGGGTTCGCCGATTTCGGGATTCATCGGCGAGGCGGTCATGCAACGGTTAGAGTCGCTGGTCTTCCAACACCACAGACCGAAATTCTGGGCCCGGTATGTGGATGATACCTTCGTCGTCATCGAACGGGAACAGGTGTTGACATTCCAAGAACATCTCAACGCCGTCTTCCCAGACATTCAATTTACGATGGAGGAGGAAGAGAACAACCAGCTGGCCTTCCTGGATGTCCTCGTATGCCGCAAGGCTTGTGGTGGACTAAAGACCAAAGTGTTCAGGAAAGCGACAAATACGATGCAAGTACTGAACTTCAACAGTAACCACCCAATCAGCCACAAACGCAGTTGTGTGAGGACGCTCAATCAGCGTGTCGAAACGCACTGCAGTGAGCCGGAAGACAAAATTGCTGAACTACAATACCTCCGACGGGTCTTCAAAGCCAGTGGCTACCCGCGCAACCTCGTCGACCGGTGCATACACAAAAGGGACGAAAGGCCTAACCGCACGGACACCAAGTCTTGGCGGGCACTTCCGTATGTCAAGGACGTTTCGGAAGCTGTCGGCCGCCTTCTCGCACCACCTGGGGTTGGAGTGGCACACAGACCGGAGGCAACCATCAGGCGTCTGATCATGAAACCGAAAGACCCACTGCCACGGCTAGAAACGTCTGGAGTCGTTTATCGGATCTGGTGCAGTTGCGGACAAAGCAACTACGTCGGAGAAACCGGAAGACAGCTCCGAACGAGAATGGCCGAACACGCGGCAGCGGTGCGCAGAAATGACACCAGCTCTCACGTTGCAGCTCATTCGACGAGATCCGGCCACACATTTAAATTCGAGGAGGCCGAAATTCTCGCAAGAGGTGACAACCGAGTGAGCCGGGAGCTACTGGAATCATGGTTTACTGGCCCCCAGTCCATCAACGAGTGCAACGATCTTCCCATTCCATAATCCGTACTGAAACTTCGCCTAGGCGGGGTAACAAGCCATGCGGGGAGCGCAGATGTGAACACTCCTCCCAACACCGGGGTCGATGCGTCAGATGGTCGAGCAATCATCACGCCAACATCCAACGCACGTGATGAAATTGCAGCAATTAGCGACTCGAATGTCGGCCATCAAGCAATGATCACACCAAGTGCGACAATCCCGGATGAAGGGGGGGAGCTATGAACGTTCATAGGTATGCGGTAGCATGGCTACTGCATCCTATAAATACCGCAGCCCCTTGTGCAACGACCACCCGTTTCTGCTCTTTTGTCTCTGATGATGGATTCGAGTAGGAATCCGAAACGTCAGGCTAATAAAGCTCTTGTCCCGGCGATCGTGTCTCCTTCTTCAAAGGGTACTCCATAACGAATTTCGCTTTAAGCCAAACATTTCAGGCTCACCAGCATGCTGCCGCGAGTGGTTGAGCAGGATTTTGAAATGGTTTGGACACTCTCAGTTCGAGATTGAGAGGAGTTAAGGAGTGATTAGCAGGGCCGATTTGGTCTGAGCAACTTATGTGATATATCACCTGCTAGCGTGTTCCTAATTCTCCTTTGGAACAAATGCCTGAAGCATGTCTTACATTACAGAACGGGAACTAGTGCCTCTTTGGGCACGCTAGCAAGTTTCCTCACACGAATACAGTCTTCGAAATTTGGAAGACAATCAGAGGTCTAGTAACGACAGCGTCTAACTCACCTACAGAAGACCGAGTCTATCGGATACCATTTCTCCGCGGCCTACCCCGCTCCCACCTCCTCTTCTAAATTAACTGTGTCCGCCAGAACTCCCCTGAACACTTCCCTCGCTCGGCGCATGCCTGGTCGAACAGCCACGGCGCCTTGCTTATTGGCTGAGGTGGGATAGGTTGAGTCAGCATTCACAACGTGCGCTGCCTCGCGTGATGCCTCCTATCTGCAGCACAGGTCTGGGGTGTACGCGTAAGCAACCTTCGCTGCGGACACTGCTATTTTCGTATCCTGGATAGCCTACTCGCTGTGCCCAACTAGTGGGTTTGTCTCTTACACCTTCATGGGAGGAAAGTTTTTATACACTTCACAAACCTGGACAGTGTCTTTCCGATGACTCCTCCTCCTCCTCCTCCTCCTTAGACCGAAGCTGTCGTAGCAAGGCCTACTGGGAAAAATCTAAATTGGCCAACATTCTAAAAGCAGGTATTCTAGTGGCCGGGTAGAACACCAAAATCGACCTTAGATACGCTGTAAATGGCAGCCCACGGAAGGCAACCGTTGTATAGCCTGACGCACCAGTCGGGATTTTTTTAAAGGGAATCAAAAATGACTTCGTCAACAGTTAGTTGATTACTGTTGCATATGTCTATCTCGTATTGTGTCATGTAGTCCGTTTGTTATAATCAGCGAGGACCACCAATGTCCCGAAGGCGCGTTGGCGACCTGCGCGGGAATGGGTTTATGGTGGGACATCTCTATCTCTTTCTCGCCCCAGATACTTATGATGGCTCCCCGCTATGTACTGGTTGTCTGATAAGTATCACGTTCCCTGCAAATGAAACCACTCCCACCAGATTGCTTTGCTGTGATGAGGATAACATATTTTTCGAGAACGTTTTTTGCTCTACAAGGCCGTCATGCCCGCTTTCCCACAGAATTTACTATTTGTTAAATTTAATGCTTAAATAATGGCGTGTAAAGTTGAGAGAAGTGATAATTTTTGACACTTGCTTCCTTTTGCTCCAAAGCTGCTAAAGCTGGTTGTGTACGAAGAGGACGTTATGCCTGAAAGAATACCTCAATATTGGTTCGCCGAATTTAAAATGACAGATTCAAGATCAAAGACGGCCTTCTCCCCTACCGGCGACGGGCTGGTTTCAATTAGGATTGCCTTAATGCAGCTTTGAAAGAAAATGGCCGGTAGACCAACAGTGAACTGACGGAAAAATTGCATTGACACCATCAGACCATCCTCACTCACATGGAGTCGGTGGGGAAAGTTCAGAGGTTTAAAGGTTGGGTGTCGCACACTTTGTTGGGAGGCGGCAAACATGGGGGCTTTGCTATCGCTGTCGGTTTCCTTGTGTGGCATAAAGGCCCCCTTAGACACAAATAAAGATTCTTCGGTCACATAGTCATTGGAGGTGATAAATGTTCCCTCCACGTCAATATGAAGCAACGGAGTAGGTGAGCTGCAATGAGGAAACAACATCTCGGCTAAAGCAGGATCATTATCCTCGAAAGATCATCATTTAGGTGGGGTAGGATTAGGGGTGCGTAGCAACTTACGAAATGCTCGAAAAAAGTCAGACGATGAAAAGGAACCTCTATGCAGCTCAGATGCATCGCTCAGACTATGCTACTCTACGAAAACCATCCGATCGTCAAGGCCAGCTGATTCTGCTACATGAATCCACCCAATCTCACACGACCCAATTCGCCAAAATGCTCATCCAAGAGCTGGACTGGGAAGTACTGCCATGTCCGACCTTCAGTCCTGATCTTGCTCCGTCAGACTATCACCTTTTAGGTCGCTTTCAAAGCTAGTGGATGACGTTACATTCGACAACGTCTGAAACCTCCAAAACGTAATTAAGCTCAAAATTTAAGAAATATTAAATGGCACCGGAAAACCCTGACAATGGTTTTCTAGGACAGAAAGTCTTCCGATTAGGAATTATCCCCACAAAAAATTTGCTCCTAACAGTTGATGCAATGGCAACGGTATAGAGAGGGACCGCACTTAGCTGTCAGTAGACTGTGGATCGTGCCACACGTGATTTATGGTAAAGCGAGTTTTATGGGTGGGGCAGCAGGCTAGACAGTAAGCTAACAAAATGAAAGAAAACACAGAAATTGCCCGGATTTGTGCCGAAAGTCTTATCCCACGCTATTGTGTGAGAACGGAAATGAGAATAGTAGTTAAACAATAATCAAAAAGCGAATTTCACACAATAACGGATTTTGTGCTAAGGTGTGAGGTCGTAGGAAGTAATCGTTGTTGGCAGTGTAATTTCTGCATCGGCCTGCAAATGTGTGCGAATATTAAACCCCATATAACACGATCCACAGTCTACTGACAGCTAAGTGGGGTCCTTCTCTATACCGCTGCCGATGCGACAAGTTCATCGACCTCAAGGGCCAACACGGGTCCAGATCAGGGAATGACAGGCGTTATTGGGGATGCGCGCCCTTAAAAAATGCCACACCTCGGAGGTGTGTTGGCACGCCTGGACGCAGGCTCACGTCGCACCAGTTATCTGCGCCTGCTCCCGCCCGCAATCTCCTTGACTCCCTTTTAACACCGGATTCGGGAGGCTGAGGGAAAAGGTAGCGTGATAGATGCAGCGCAAGTCTACTACCACTATAAAATTATTCACGCATAGTCCACTGTCCCTGTGCCCACCATGCTCCGGGGACACACAGTCGAAATTGCCGAACTCGACGGCCGGACTGTCGAATAATGTGTAAAACTTGTCAAAACAAAGCAAACAGGTGCAGCGAAGTGCAGCGTACAAATACCAAAAGACCGTTAATAAATGCGCGAAAATTCAACAGCCTTGGTGTCGCCATGAAATACCTTTTACATCCAGTGTTGGCTTCTTTAAAATTTTTTCCAGGCAAAGAATATTTAGACGAAATCAACCGCCTAAAGGACACTGTTGGATAACCGACCGTGATAATTTTTACTTTTCTATGGTATCTGGGCGGCGAAACTTTCAGTTTTAGTATGCCCTCGGTGCAAAGCCAAATCTGTGTTACTTGTACCCTCCCTCTGGGTTATTTGTTTTATTGAAGTCATCGTCTATGCAAGAAGGGCAGTAAATAAATGTGCGGTCCCGAGTTCAAGTCAATGGCGAAAATGTCAGACCGTGGGTAGACAGGCTTGTATTGAACAGAAAAACAATTTCTGCAAATGTCCAAGGATAGATTAGAGAGAACAAGTCGTTCAAAGGACGATGCAGACTTCGAAACCATTATCCTTCCCTAACCGCCAGTTGAATGTTAAAGGATCCAGTTTATTTAAAGTGCTTTTTGTTAGCTGTATCTGCAAATGCTCCAATGTCCATCCCTTACCTCCAAAAAGGTAGGACATTAGAAGCCGTTTGATGTCAATCTTCAGGAAACCCATTTCATCCCTATCTTGTCGCACAGACGAAAGCTCCTCTCTTCCGACTGGCACGTCTTCTTGATCTGTAGTCCAAAACTGCGGGTTACATCCAGCCCTTGAAAGATCATATGGCTACACCTACCTGCTGGGAAACGAAAACAAAGTACGAATGTGCGCAAGCTAACATGAATTCGCCTACCAACTGAGGTGAAAATCGTAAAACGTTCAGTCATCTCGAATATAAATGTCTGTAAGATGTGGTTATGCAGCCGCATCTGTTGGAAATAATACTGTTGGGGGTTAAGGTTAGGGCAATTATTTATCAACTACTGAAAGTAAAATTGTGCATCCCCAATAGCTTTTCATTTGCGTACAATTACCTGACATCGTCGCCTGTGCGTTTCCCGGCCCCACTCGTAAAAACTCATATCACCATTGACCCCGTATTACAGGCAGCTGGGGTTTGTTTACCTCAGGTGCGACTGCATAACCGCATATGACCGAAAATGGCAAATATCTTTCCGGGACAGTGTTGACCCGGAGACCAAGGTCTAACCGTTTCTGATTAGCGTTACTCCCTGAAACTAATATTCCCCACGTAAACTTGTTCATCGGATGTGGGACGACCGCCAACCTCTTCAGGCACACACACATTCTGGTTGACCGTTGACAGACAGGGAACCCTCGTCATTAATGACGGAGTTCTGTCTACGGACAAATTGCTTTTGAGGGCATTTGTTTTTACGAAACCATGATGAATTTCCCGGGTATAGTATGCTAAGTCAACGACATATCTCAACAACTGCCTCGTCAGGGCGAGCTGAGACGGACCATGGAGAGTAATGTAGAATTTATGACAACCAGAAACGTCCAGACTT